GGGCAACAGTGATGGGGGCATGTAGTAGCCTCGGGTACACTTGGGGAAAGCTTTCTGTTTGCTTAAATAAGGCAGGTTTCCAGGAGACCCACCGAGGAATTACTTCTTCTGAAAAGGAGGCTGTAGCCAAATGAGTGTGCGGGACCCTCTGTTCCCCCTTGCTCCCTCTCTGCCCACGTCACTTATCCTGTACCCTGTGTCTGCTGCCCACAGAGCTGCATGGACATCACTGTCCAGAGGTCACCCACCATGCCGGGGCTTCTCCAGCTGGTGTCTGCAGAGCGTCCTGGGAGCTCGTAGCTAGCCGGATTCCCTGGCCCAGGGTGGCGGCAAGGCTGAGGAGGGCTCCTTGGGTGACAGGGTGGAAGGCCTCTGCTGTTGCTAATGTCCCCCATTCTTGGACCCCATCCTCGGCCAGTCTGTCTTGGTGCCTAACACCCCCTTCTCCGTGTTCATTGTCCAGCCACCCCTTCCCTTGCCCTCCCGGCTGCCCGGGGTCCCACTCAGATGGCCCCTGCCTTACGTGCCACTCACTGCAGGGTGCTGCCTCTGTTCCACAGCTGCACAGAGAGAAGTTGAGGTTGTGTGGCCACACTCAGTGGCTCAGTAGGTGGCTGGTTTTGCCTGTGTCCATGGTGTCTCCGGAGCACTCATGCCATGGACAGCTCAGCTCACTTCAGTGCAAGACAGCGTGGGAGAGGAGGCTGGGGTAGGAGGGAAGGCTTCTTTGTTGTTGATTTGGTTCTTGTGTCCTTGGTTTGGACTGCACCTGCTGTGCTTGGGGCTTCCTCCCGGCTCTGCACTCGGACTCAGGCTCGCTCCCAGGCAGCCGCTCCTCTCGGTTAACCGTTAACGTGTCATGGTTACGAATTCTGTGAACACATGAAGCAGCTGCTTGTACTCTGCCTCAATTCTCTCTTTGTATGAAACATGTTATGTGTGAATTATAAGTTATTTTTTTTCTAACCTGCTCAGAGTACCTGGTGGTGAAGTGTGTCAGATATATTAGGGTTCAAATTCCAGTTACATTAATTAACTGGCTTGATTAGAGCAGATTTCTTTATTGGTTCTAATAATTTTTTCTAATAAAGGATGGTTGTGATTTTTACGTTAAAAAAAAAAAGGAATCATTCCTGGCAGTGCTCAGGAGACCATATGGGATTCCAGGGATCAAACCCAGATTGGCCACATGTGAGGCAAGCGCCCTCCCCATTGGGTATTGCTGGACAGAGAGAAATGAGTTCTGAGTTACAGATGCACTCACAGTAGGGGTGGTTCCTGAGTCAAGCTCTCACGGTGGGACCCTTGGCAGTGCTCGGGAGCATCATCAAGGAGCTGCTTTAGGCTGCAAAACCCCCATGTCCCTCCCTCAGTCCTGCTGGGTTGGACCTTAGCAGATAGTACCTGCCTCACGGCTCTTGCCTTGCACGTGGCCAATCTAGGGTCAATCCCCAGCATTGCAGAGTGTCCCTCGAGCAAAAGTGACCCCTGAGCACTGCTGCGTATGACCAAAAACCAGGGGGGAAAAGACTCAGTATTCACCTGCAGCCCAGCTCCAACAGTGCTGGGGTGCTCCCAGTGTGGTTGGGGTCTGTTCCTTCAAGGTCGCTCTGCCCAGGCAAGTTCAGGGGCTTACAGGAAGTCCAGCCTGCGCTCCCCGTGCCCCTTCCTGTCCTCCTTCCTCCCGATCATTCTCATTGGAGATCAGACGTGAATTACAGAGTCTGAGCATGCCTGTCTTTCTGTCCCTTCTGCATCCTTATATCTCTGCATCCATTGGTTCTGACAGCCCAGGTGTACCACGGGTGCTTGTTACTGGAAAAGCCTGAGCCAGCTGGTCTGCAGTATAGCCCATGTCTCTCTAACAAGCTCCCGAGCGGTGCCCGCCCTGCTCATCCATGCACAGCTCATAGGAGCAAGTTTGCCAGCCAGCCAGACAGTTCTAAATCTCATGCGGAGCTTTGAAATAAGGGCAAAGCCAGAAAACCAAAAAGAAATGGGAACAATTCTCCAGTGTGTCTCGTTTTTATCCCCTGCCAACACGTACCACTCATCTGCAAGTCCTGAGAGGTTTGCAGGTGAACATCTTCTGACCTCCTTGAGAGGGGGTCTTCCCTAAGCCAAAGGAGGAGGGCAATAACAGACAGCCTCTCCCCCAGATGGGCTACGGGGATGAGGGATGATGACCTGGGGACAAGAGGGAAGGCCCCCACGCCTGCCACTGTAGGAAGGAACTCCACTCTAGGTTCAGAGCCCGCCTCCACCCCCGTGTGTCCCACACCAGATCTCAAAAGTGCCTCCTTTTTCATCACTCTACAATATTTTGACATGGGAAGGGGTGGGGCAGGGGGTGGAAATTCTTTGAAGCATTTCTCTTCCTTGGATGCTAGTTCTCAGCTTATGTGACCGATTTGAAGTTTAGTCCTGGAATTCCAGTTTAACATATGCAGTTACTATAGCAATTGAGGTTTCCTTAGTAACAGTTGCAAAAAATAATCTGGCCCCAATTAATAATACATTTGAAAGCTCTTTCTATTCTACATGGAACAACCCAGAGTTTTTTGGCCAGGAACCTGGTAGTTAATGTGGTGTCCCTTGCACCAGTTGGGATATCATTTACATGCAGGGCTGGAGAGGAATGAAAAATACGTGGCAGGATAGGAATTTGGGCGGGAAGCTGGCCGGGAAGCTTGCTGTTTGACCCTGCCCACTGTGTTGGGCTAGTTCACCTTGCCTCAGGGACTTGTTCATTGGAAGAAGAGAGAGGCTGGGCTTACTCAAAGAGAAGAAGACACTGGTAAAAGGGAGGTGGCAGGGAGTGGTTTCTCTCCGTCCAGTGCTGGGCCTTCAGGCCTGCTAAGAGTCTCTGCGGGTGTGGATGCTTCCGCCTGACCAGCAGGGACTGGGTGTGTCCAAAGTGCCTTTTGGGCTCAGAGTCCACCACCCCTTGGCTGGCCAGTCCTCTCCGCTCTTCCAAGCATATGTCTCTGTGCTGCCTTGGCACCCAAGTAATAGCCTAGCCCACATTCGCTTTGCTTGGGTGCCTGCATCTCAGGACTTAATGCTGTTTCTGTCTGCCAAGCTCCGCACTGGACGTCTGTGGAGTCCAGGCACTTATAGTGGGCTCTGTCGGGTCTGCATAAACAGGGCAGCAGCTGCGAGGCAGACCTCCTCCCCCAGGCTCCCCCCCCCACCCCCCGGGCCAGCCCCCTGCAGGGAAGCCCCCAACCCTTCCCCTCCAGGTACTCTGCCTCAGCTGCCAAGAGACTTGTTCTCCCAGAGATCAGTGGACAGAGAGGAGCGGAGGGGGAATGGAGCTTCCTCTGAGCGGGTCTGGGGTTTGTGCTGGCCTAGTGTCTTGGCAGGGGGGAAAGCAAGTCAGGAGACATCTGTGTACCACACCCTGCACCTAGCATGAGGATGATGAAGCAGGTGAGAATGGCAGGTGACCTTCATGGCATATTTCAGTAAATGACTCTTGACTGGGGAAGCTGGTTATCAGAGGCCTGCCCTCACTCCTGATTCGAGGTCCAGAGCAAAGGGCAGAGGAGACTGAAGGGAGGGGTGTCCCCCATGACCTGTTGGCTCCCTCCCCCATGCCTGGGAGAAGCTTCGCCAAGTCCTGCAGCTTCCTGGTACCACTCTCCCCAGCCTGTGCCCGTTTGCTCACCACTTCCATACTTCAGGAAACACTGATTTAGGAAACATTTTCCCCCAAAGTCCCCAGTCTCTCAGGGAGGCGTATGAGAAGCTTGTTCACTGTGGACTTGTTCTTATTTTCCAGGGCCCTCTGCACGTTTTGTCATGAGGGGCACAGAGCAAGTGCTGGGAATTTGCAGGCGGGGGGGGGGGGGGGGCTGGGCAGGTGGCTAAAGGGGTGCATTAGGTGCATATGCGAGCTCTTTGGATCAGTCTCCACCATTGCATGACCCCCGCACACACTGCTCACAGCTGAAACAAAGCTGGTATGGCCCACGCAACATCCCACAAATACATAAGTAAATATTTACAGGGGGAGTGGCCAGAGTTGTTTGAGTTTTAAATAAAAACCCAAATCTGGGGGGTGTGGGGCGCACACCCAGCAGTGCTCAGGGCTTACTCCTGACTCTGCACTCAGGGATCACTCCTGGCCAGGCTTGGGGGGCCATGTGGAGTGCCAGGGATTGGAGCCAGGTCAGCTTCATGCAAGGAAAGCACCCTGTCCGCTCTGTTGCCCCAGCCCCTGAGAATGGGATTTTGATCACTGCACTCGGACTTTCGCAGAGACTTGGGAGAAACTAGGAAGTGTAGAGTGGGTGCAGTGGAGGTCAGAGGGTGACCAGAGGGGTGGAGTGAGGGAGAGGAGGTGGAAGGGCCAGGGAAGGGATGGGTGGGGACAGATGTGCACGTACCAGAGCGTCACGGAGTGGGAATTGGGGCCAGTAGGAGACAGCAGAGAGAAGTGGCACAGTTGAGCGAAGCTGCAGGGAGCTCAGGGGGGAGGGTGGGATCCGAGCTGAGAAGGGCGTCTGGGGACAGGTGAGACATGGGTAGGGCCAGCTCTGAGCATCTCTGTACTGTGAGCTTGAAAGGCCATGGGGAACCACTCGCAGGGTTTCACTGCGTGGCTGCGGTGCAGGCTGGTCCTCGGTGGCGAAGGGCGGTGCAGGGATGGACGCCAGGGCCTCATGCAAGGCAGTAGCTCTGGAGAGCTGAGGCCCAGCCTCTGTACAGTGGGCAGTGATGAGGCAGGCTGGCCTCCGGGGGTCCCCCAAAGGCATTGTGAAGGAGAGGGGCAGATGGCCAGCAGGCACATGGAGCAGAGAGCAAGCGGACAGAAGGTTGGGGTGTTGGGGAGTTGGCGAGTGGAGGGGGGCTGAGTGCAGCCATCCCCGTTCTCCCACACAAGCTGTGAGCTGCGGGAAGCCGTCCCCAGTCAGCCTAGGGGAACCCAGGGTTGCTGGGCAGTGTGGGCAGGGTGCGGCCCCCTCCTAACCCCTCCCTGCTCTTCTCCTTCAAAGTGACCAAGCTGCAGGTGAGCAAATCCAAGCGGACCCTCACGCTGGTGGAGAACAGGCCCATCCAGCTGAACTGCTCCGTCAAGTCCCAGACCAGCCCCAACTCCCACTTCGCAGTGCTGTGGTACGTGCACAAGCCCTCGGACGCCGACGGCAAGCTCATCCTCAAGACCACACACAACTCCGCCTTCGAGTACGGCACCTACGCCGAGGAGGAGGGCCTTCGCACCCGCCTGCAGTTCGAGAGACACGCCTTTGGGGGCCTGTTCAGCCTCACCGTCCAGCGGGCCGAGGTCAGCGACAGCGGCAGCTACTACTGCCACGTGGAGGAGTGGCTGCTGAGCCCCAACTACGCCTGGTACAAGCTGGCCGAGGAGGTGTCAGGGCGCACAGAGGTCACCGTGAAGCAGCCAGGTGAGGACTCCGCACACATGCTCCCTCCTGCCAGCTGGGTCCTTCTCATGGCTGAGTAGTGTCCCACGGCCACTTACAATCCCATTATCCGTTATCTCCTCATCTGCTGTGAATAATATTGTGCTATTACACTTGTGGATTAATGTTTCTGGGGGTGGTTGGTCCTAGGAGGGGGTGTCACTTTATGCTGTGAATTTCTGTTCTTAATTTTCTTTCTCTTTCGGTTTTTTGCTGGGCTACACCTTGCAATGCTCAGGGGTAGTTCCTGACTCTACACTCAGGAATTACTTCTGACAGTGCTCCGGAGACCATATGGGATGCCTGGGATCCAACCTTGGATCGGCAAATGCCCTACCTGCTGTACTATTGCTCCAGTCTGCTAGTCTTGATTTTCTGAGGCATCTTCACAGTACTTTGTATAAGGGCTAGGCCAGACATTGGTACCACCAATAGTGAATAAAGGCTCCATTTCCCACATCCTGCCAACACTTTCATGCAGCTGGCCCAGGTTCAATCCCCAGCATCCCAAGCACCGCCAGGAGTAACTCCTGAATACAGAGCCAGGAGTAACCTCTGTGCATTTCCAGGTTTGCTCCTTGTTTGATGTGTGAGTATTTTATCCCACTCAGCTGAGGAGTGTCTTTTCATTTGGGGTATCATTCTTGTGCCTACTCCGAGGAGGAGGGCCTTTTAAACCTGACATAGTCCCACTTGCTTCACCTCTGCCTTAGTTCTGTTTGCTGGAGGCTTATCTCCTTGATGAATCCTCTGAAGTCAGTAACAGGGAGGGCCTTCCCTTCTTTTCCTGGACGTTTTTACTGGTTTCAGGTCTGATGATTGAGGTCTTCAGTCCATTTTTAATTAGCCTCTGTGCACATGACTATCCATTTTTTCCCAGCAGCATTCATTGAAGTGGCTCTCCTTGCTTCACTTCATGGTCCCAGACCCTTTGTCGTAGATTATCGGCACATACATCTAATGGTTTCTCTCTGGGCTGTTAATCCTACTCCATTGATTTGAGAGTCTCATTCCAGGTCTGTGTATTTTTGATTCCAATAGCTTTGTAGTATAGTTTAAAATCAGGGTCTGCAATGCCTTCCATCTTTTTCTTCAGGGTTATTTTAGCTATTCTGGGAGTCTTATGGTTTTGTACAAATTTTAGAAGTGTTTGTTCTATGTGCTGAAGAATGCTGTAGGAATTTTAATGAAGATAGTGTTGAATCTGGGATTTGCTTTCAGAAAGATGATAAACATTCTGCCGATCTGTGAACAAGGAATGTGTTTGCATTTCCTTGTGTCATTTCTTTCAGTAGTGTTATCACTTTTATCAGATAGGTCTTTCACCTTCTTTGTTGAGTTTATTATTCCTATTATTTGAGTGCTTGGGTGACAATCGTAAATGAAATTTTCAAAAAAAAGTATTTCTGGGGTTGGAGAGATATTACAGGGGAGTAAGACACTTTTCTTGCATATGTCAGGCCCTTTTTTGATCCTTGACACTACATTGCACATCAGGTCCCTCAGCACTGCCAGGAGTGATTCATGAGTACTGCTAGGCGTGGCCCCAAAACCAAAAAAAAAATTATTTCTTTGTTCTCTCCATATTTATATATGAGAATGCAACAGATCCTATGCATTGATTTTATAAGTTGATACTTTGCAGTTTTTAGGTTTTATTTATGTATTTTATCGTGTCATCTGCAAATAATGATAATATGATTTCTTTATCAATCTGAATTGCTTTGATTTCTGTCTCTCACCTTACTGCTGTCACAGGGACTGCAAATACTATGTAAACTAAAAGGATATCCTGTCTTATTCTTGATCTTAGAGGAAAAAACTTTAGTTTTCTTCATTCAGTGTTTTAATTTCTATGAGATTGTTGTATATGGCCTTTACTGCATTAGGTAACTTCTTTCAACACTCATTCTGTTGAAGGTATATTTTTTAATCATGAATGGTTAATTGAATCTTATTGAACAATTTATCTGCATTTATAGAGATGATCATATGGCTCTTATCTTTCCTCTTATTATATTAATGTGGTATATTACAGTTGATCTATTTATGTTGAGCCATCCTTGTATCCCTGGAATAAACTCTGTTTGATCGTGATATATGAGGTGTTTAATGGATTGCATATTTAGTTCATAAGGATTTTATCTAGCATCTTTATATTCATATTCTTCAAGGATATTGTGTTGAAAAAAATTTTAGTAATGTCTGTCTGCTTTTGATAGCAAGATAACTGTTGGTATGAGCTTGAGAAGGGAGGGTAGTTGGTCCTTTTTATAATTTATTTTTTAATTTCAATTAATTGTTTTAAGTCACCGTGAGATACAGGGTTACAAAGCTGATCGTGGTCAGGGTTCAGTCATACAGAGTCCAACACCTGTCCTCCCACCAGTGCACATTTCCCACCACCAATGGCCCCAGTTTCCCTCCCGCCTCCCTCCCTTCAGCCTGCCTCATGGCAAAGGCTGGGGAGAAGGCGGTTGGGATGGAGAAGGGACCACCATGACAAAGATACTTGGAAATGATCACTCTGTGCCGAAAACAGGTAAAGGAACGAACATGATAGTATCTCAGTATCTGTATTGCAGACCATAATTCCTCAGAGGGCAGAGAGAGACAGCGACAGATAGAGACAGAGGCAGAATAAAAGTCCTTTTGTAAGGCTTGGCAGACCTCACGAGTAAGCCTATCCAGCTCCAGGCTTGGTGGGAAAGATTTGGGTTTGGAAAGATTTTAGTTCTAGAAAGATTTTCTGCTACTTTCTCAACTTCCTCAACTGGTAATTTGAGTGATCTTCTTCTTCACTCAGTTTAAGGGCTCTACATTTTTTTCTATTTCTCCTAAATTCTCTAATAAAGTTGATGTAACCATTCAAGGTTGCTCTGACATAATCTTGAATGTTTGGTATTTCCGGGGGGGGAGGGTGTCTGTCATAAGTTCTCTTATTTCATTTTTGATCCGATTTATTAGGATTCTCTCTTTTCCCTTTGTGATTCCAGCCAAGGATTTGTCAATCCTATTATTTGGGGAAGGAGGTTTGGGTCACACCCAGCAGTGCCCAGAGCTTGATCTCTGACTGTTTGGGGATCTCTCCTGCTGCTGCTCTGGGGACCATCACAGTGTCAAGGATCACATGGGGGTCATCCACATGCAAGGCTTAGCCCCTCAATCAGATCATTAGTAGTAATGATCTTATCATTTCTTTTCAAGACACAGCTCTTGGTTTCGCTGATCTTTTGTAATATATTTGCAATTTCCATATTACTGACATCCCCTCAAGTTTTTATTCCTTCTGCTTACTTCGAGCTCCCTGTGTTGCTCTCTTTGAGTCCCTTGAGGTGTGAGGTTTGATTGTTGGTGCCTGCTGTTGTTTCCTAAGGACACCTGTAAGCAGTTGTCTCTTCTCCATGACACTGTAAGTTCTTTGAGTTGAAGCCATGCTGGTGCATCCACAGCCTCTGACACAGTAGTCACTGACCCTTAATAGGCTTGGCTTGAGTCAGCCATGGGTGTTACTTGCTTTGAGCACCCAAGGCAGGTCCTTGATTCTTGCTGTTCTCGTAGCCTGGGACATATTCACCATCGAAATTTATCTAGTTCTGTCTACCAGAGAGAGTTTTCTCAGCTCCGGAGAATTCCAGCTGCCCTCCAGTTCCCTGCACTCATTCTCTGCTCCCCTCCGTCACATGTTGTGCCTGCCTACCTTCCCCTGTCAGCAATATAAGATAGAGCCAGATTGGGGCAGAGCAGGCCCCGGGCCAGACTGTGATGTTGGCCAGCCCACTGTCCAGCAGGAGAGCCTGGAGGTTGGGGGCAGCTTGACCCGTCACACTTCCTGAGGACAGAATTCACTCACTGTGTCTGCGCTGCTGTGCAGTGACGCATGTCACTCTCCCATGTTAGGGTTTGCGAGCGACTCCCTTGTCTCCGCTTAGGGAGCGCCCCTCGTCCTCCGTGAGGTGTGCTCCTCACTTGTGCCTCTGTCTGCACTCACCCCATCTCTTCCTGAGAGAGAAGCACAGCATCCCTCATCACCCCTTCCCTGCTGCCTCTCCCATCCCGCTGTCACTCTGGGCTCTTTGCTGGCCCCCAGTGACCTTTGCCGTGGCCCTTCCTGATTGAAAAGGAGCTTTGGGCATCCCCAGTGACCTTCGCCCGATGTCTGGGGCCTTTGAGAGCAAACTGGGGCCTCAGACCCCAGAATCCGTTCTGTGCTCTCACCTGCTTCTGGTTCCTTTGGTTTCCCCCAGGCCGGCATCTCCCGCTGTTGCCTCTGCACAGTCCTCCTTTGCCGTTCCTGTGTGTGTGCCAGAACACAGATGTTCTGCTGGGTACTGAATCCAAGCAGACAGACTGACAGCCGGCTCTCTCAGGACCACACAAGGGTTCGGGATGCTTCCCCGAAACAGCCTAAGTGCAGTCGCGGCCAGAGGGCTAACATGCCATGCGCCTGGAAGCCCCCAGCACAGCACGTGTGTTCCCCTTTCTGTTGAGATTTTTTTGTTGCTATGATTGGTTTTTTTATACCCCCCCCCCAGGCTTCTGATTCTTTTTTTTTCCTTTAATTTTCCCTCTATTTTTTCCCCTAGTGAAAGAACTGACACTTAGAGAGCTTTTGAAAAACATTTCTTTAAAAGCACAGAGACAGGCTGGAGCAGGGGTGAAGGCCCATGCCCAGTCCCTGCCCCATGTCTGCTTCCACCAGCACAACCAGGAGTGACCCTTGAGCACTGCCCCTCCAACCAAAGACCCAGAGTCAACATCTTCACTGTTTCTCTCTGCAGATACTGCTTATTTGAACTGTACTTTCTGGGGCCAGAGAGACAGTACAGAGGTTTAGGCTCTTACACTGCTAACAGATGACCCCAGTTTTGTTTTGTTTTGTTTTGTCTTTAATTTTTATTAGTGAAACACCATGAGGTACAGTTGTAGACTTACAGATTTTTGTGCTTGGGTTTCAGTTATACAATGATCGAGTTCCCATCCCTCCACCAGTGCCCATTCTCCACCACCACTGATCCCAGTATCCCTCCCACCGCCCCATCCCCTCCATCCCACCTCTTTTGTTCTCTCTCTCCTTTTGGGTGCTGTGGTTTGCAAAAGAGGCATTGAGTGGCAATCATGTTCGGTCTATAGCCTACTTTCAGCATGCATCTCTCATCCTGGGAGGATCCTCCCAACACCCTTTATTTGGTGCTCCCTTCTCTGTCTGAGCTCCCTTTTCCCCTAGCGTGTGCAGCTGACCTCCAAGCCATGGAGTGAACCTCCTGGTACTTATCTCAGCTATTCTTGGGTATTAGTCTCCTGTTTTGTTACTTTATGTTCCCCAGATGAATGCAGTCTTTCTACGTCTGTCCCTCTCTTTCTGACTCATTTCACTTAGCATGATACTTTCCATTAGTACCACTTGTATGTAAATTTCTTGACTTCATCTTTTCTAACAGCTACATAGTACTCCATTGTGTAGATGTACCAAAGTTTCTTTAACCAGTCATCTTTCTCGGACACTCAGGTTTTTTCCAGATTCTAGCTATTGTAAACAGTGTTGCAGTGAACAAACAAGTGCAGATGTCACTTCGACTATACTTTTTTGCCTCTCTGGGATGATAACCCCAGTTTGATCCCTCACACTGCATATGGACCTCCGAGCCCAGCCAGGAGTGACCGCAGAGTAGGGGCAGGAGTAAAACCTGAGCACCACTGAGTATTGCCCCAAAAGAAACAAGCAAACTATATATACATACACACACATATATACACACACACATTATATATATACACACACACATATATACATACACACATATACACACATATATACACACACATATATATACACCTGCGTGTACACAAACACACATACACACACATATAATTGTCTTTTTTTAAGCAGTCATTTTTTTGGTTTGGTTTGGTTTGTTTTTTTGGCCACACCTGGTTAAACCCAAGGGTTACTCCTGGCTCTGTGCTCAGGAATTGCTCATGGCCCCTGACTGGGCTCAGGGGACCATATGGGATGCCGAAAGTGAAACCCAGTCAGCTGCATGCAAGGCAGGTGCCCTGCCCTCTGTGCTCTCTCCAGCCCCTGAAGCGACCCTTGCATCATGCTGGCAGGTCTGTCCCTGTCACGCCTGGTGACAGGCTTGAGGTGTGTGAGGCCCCCTCCGTGGAGCCCCCGAGGACAGCCCTCCCCGGTGCCTGTGTGTTGACTGACAGGCCCATCCCCATCAGATCTGGAGGGGCTCATCTCATAGAGTTGGAGCCATGCCACGGGCTGCCGTGAGTGGTGCTTGTCCTGGCTGGGAGCCTGCCTGGCTTTCTCAGTCTGCTCAGTGCTGTTCTCACCCTTGGCTTGTTTGAAAGGAAGGGAGAACTGCCGCTCTCGGCACCTCCTGGGCAGGGCCAAGCAGGCCTCCATGCAGCCTGGGTGTTCTTGCCGTCCCCCTGGTCCGAAGGTGCCCTCCTGCTGGGAGAGGGGCTTTCCCCCTGCCCCTTCCTGTTCCCTCCCCACAGTCATGTGCTTCATGACCCTGTTCTTTAGACACGCAGTCTAATCACCTAAGCTACCCCTTGGCATGTGAGCCCAGAGGGCTATAAACTAGGGGAGGGGTGTTGCTGTGACACGGAACCTCAGCATGGGCACCCAGACCTACAGCCAAGGAGTTTGGATTGTTGAGGGCACGCATCTGAGAACCAGTCCTGCCCACTGACGTGTCTGCGTCCACCCTGTGTGCAGAAAATGTGCGTGTGAGTCTGTGTCTGTATGTATGTGTGTGTGTGTGTGTGTGTGTGTGTGTGTGTGTGTGTGCGTACGCTCATGCACAGAGAAAGTGTGGGCATGCATGTGGGAAGCACACGAGCCTGTGAACATGTGTGGACGTGTGTGCCGCCCGGGCTGTGCGGTACTCATTCTCACCGCTCTCTCTTGCCCTCACAGACAGCCGCCTGAAGCTTAGCCAAGCCCAGGGGAACCTGTCGGTGCTGGAGACGCAGCAGGTACGGCTGGAGTGCCTGGTCCTGAACCGCACGAGCGCCGCTTCACAGCTCCTGGTGGAGTGGTTCGTGTGGAAACCCAACCACCCCGAGCGGGAGGCCGTGGCCCGCCTGGGCCGGGATGGCACCTTCCACTATGGGGAGCAGGCAGCCAGGAACCGCCTACAGGGCCGACTGCATGTCGAGAGCCCGGCCCCCGGCGCCTTCCGCCTCCTGGTGCAGAACGTGGCCGTGCAGGACTCGGGCACCTACAGCTGCCGTGTGGAGGAGTGGCTGCCCAGCCCCAGCGGCCGCTGGTACAAGCGGGCAGAGGACACAGCGGGGCAGACTGCCGTCACCATCACACGGCCAGGTGAGTGGGAGGACCTGGCCCCAACTCCTGAGGCTGTTCTGCCTGGAACTGGGGTATTCTGTGCACCTCATAAAGTCAGTTATTGTTTGCAGCTAAATATCTGAGCATCAGTTGCATCTCAAATGTCCTTTCCCTGCTGAATAGAAAATTGCACACCTCATTTGGGTCAGAAGTGATTCTCTCTCTCTGTCTCTCTCTCTCTCTCTCCCTCCCTCCCTCCATCCCTCCCTCCCCCTCTCTCCCTCTCTCTCTGTCTCTCCCTCTCCCTCTCTCCTTCTCTCTCTTCCCCCTCTCTCTCCCTCTCTCTCTCTCTGTCTCTCTGTCTCTCTTCCTCCCTCCCTCCATCCCTCCCTCCCCCTCTCTCCCTCTCTCTCTGTCTCTCCCTCTCCCTCTCTCCTTCTCTCTCTTCCCCCTCTCTCTCCCTCTCTCTCTCTCTGTCTCTCTGTCTCTCTTCCTCCCTCCCTCCATCCCTCCCTCCCCCTCTCTGCCTCTCTCTCTGTCTCTCCCTCTCCCTCTCTCCTTCTCTCTCTTCCCCCTCTCTCTCCCTCTCTCTTTCTCTCTCTGTCTCTCTGTCTCTCTTCCTCCCTCTCTCCCTCTCTCCTCTCTCTCTCCCTCGGCCACTCTCTCTCCCTCTCTCTCTGTCTCTCCCTCTCCCTCTCCTTCTCTCTCTTCCACCTCTCTCTCCCTCACTCTGTCTCTCTCTCTCTCTTCCTCCCTCTCTCCCTCTCTCCCTCTCTCCTCTCTCTCTCCCTCGGCCACTCTCTCTCCCCCCTATCTCTCTCTCTCTCTCTCCCTCCTCTCTCCCTCCTCCCCCACTCCTCCCCAGTGTTTGAGTTTGAGATGTTCAGGCATTTCTCCTAGACATCTTAGAAACCCCTGTGGTGCTGGGGAACTCTGCAGACCAAGCCTTCAGCCCTTTGAGATGTCTCTCCAGCCAAATTCAGTTTCTCGTGCTTTTTTTTTTTTTCCAGTGTCAGAGAGGGTAGAAAGGGGCAGGTTGGGGCCACATCTGGCAGTGCTTAGCAGTTCATTTTAAAAAATATATATTTTTTTTTTCAGGGCTGGAGCAATAGCACATTGGGTAGGGCATTTGCCTTGCATGTGGCCAACCTGGTTCAATTCCAGCATCCCATATGGTACCCCAAGCACCGCCAGGAGTAATTCCTGAGTGCAGGAGCCAGGAGTAAGCCCTGTGCATCACCAGGTGTGACCCAAAAAGCAAAAAATAATAATAAATAAATAAATTACTTTTTTCTTATAACACCATGATTTACTAAGTTGTTCATAATACAACTTAGTTGTTTTAGGCATTCAGTGTTTCAGCACCAATCCCGCCTCTAGTGTGACCTTCCCTCCATCATTGTCCTGTGTCCCACCCTTCCCCCAAACCTGTCTCCTGAGCAGGCACACATTCCATGAACTTACTTCATATTGTATGTTATAGCACAACAGCAAATGGAATTATCAAATCTTAGATCAATTATATTCAATTTTATCTCATTGTATCATATCTCACAATTTTATCTCATTATGTCATTCTATCTCACAGTTCATTATATCTCCTATAGTCTAAGTCCTGGTCTGAGGATCTGCTGTGCTGGTTAGTGCTAGTTGCTTTGACTCAGGTTCATTGAGCCTGTGGGCTTCTATGCAACTCTCCCATCAGATGTGCTGTGATAGTCCCAGGCTGACAGTACAGTGAGATTTGGAGATGTCGTGTGGTCACATATGTGGCTGTCCATTCCAGGGACTGTCGATCTAGAGCAGTTTGGTGGCTTGGCATCTTGATAAGGTTCAGTTGTGGAATTGACCATTTCCTTGTGGGAGGGTATTGCATGTGGCTGTGGGCTCCTGTGCCCTCAGGCAGAAGGGGGAGTCCCGCCCCCGTTCTGAGAAGACCCCAGAACCTGGACCAGTCTACCGGGAAAGATTCTGGAGATGAGTTGTGAAGCTGAGCTGTTTCTTACCTGGCAAGATGGCAGGTGTTGGTGGGGCTGCTGGGTCTTCCAGTGTGTGTGTGGGGGGGGAGTTGTGTGTGGCTGTGGGCAGTTTTCAGCCCAACCCATTCTGAGGTCGCTCCTGGCCATGCTCTTGGGATCACTGAGAACTGAGTTGACTGTGTGCAAGGCAAAGTGCCGTACTGCTGACCACTGCTCCTCCCCACACATGGAATACAGAATGTTTCCTTTCTAAAGAGTGCATTCGAATTTGGACAAGGGTAGAAATCTTGAGCTAGTAGCTCTGTAGACTGAATAAATAAGCATGTGGATTTTCAGAGGGGGGAAAAATTATTCCCGTGCTTTAAATAGAAAGAGGAAGTGTCTGCAGTTTCTCTCTCGCTTCCTAATCACTTTATTGGTGCTAATGACTAGTCTGTGTGGCCTTGTCTTTTTTTGTTGTTTTAATCTTCATTATTGTTTCTCAAGGACCAAGCTGCAGGTAGCAACTCAGGATAATTGTCACCACACGGTTCAGCGCCTCATTAAAGCAGAGGGGCAGGTTCCTGTGTCCCCAGCCATCCACCCAGATCAAAAGCAAAGGCCCAGAGGGGCCATGGAGCATAGGAAGGAGGGCTGGGATGGGCCATGAGAGCCTTTGTCTTCTTGGCTTTCCATGTGTTTCAGCGATCTGCTGGCATTGGTGGGAGCTTCGGAGTGTTTTCACATCTAAGTGGAGCAGCTGTATTGGTGGACTGGGTGGAGGTCACTGCAGCCTCAGGAGCCCTGCGCAGCTGTGACTCCCATGGCAGGACCCAAAGGGGGATCCCTGCTCCCCTCCCTCCTCCTCTTCGTTCTTGTCCCCTCTTCTCTGGGCAGCAGCTCCTCTCTCCTCCACACCTCCCCCCCATTTCACTGACCCTTCACCCTCAGCCTCACATGCAGGAAAGGGCAGAGGAGAGCAGCAGCTGCACCCACCAGTTAGATGACATGTTTGGAGCTCACAGTGACCTTGAGGGCAGATGTCACTAGCCACCTGAAGCCTGAGGGAGACTCTGCACAGCTGGGAAGGGAGGCTGGACCAGTGCCAGCTCACTCCTCCCATACCCTCCCTGCCTCCCTCCATTCCTCCTGCCCTCTTCCCTCCCTCCCTCTCACCTCCCTTCCTCCCTCCTTTCCTGACCTCCCTCTCTCCTCCCACCCTCCCTTCCTCCTGCCCTCTCTTCTTCCCTCCCGCCCTCCCCCTCCCTTCCTCTCTCCCTCACTTCCTCCCAGCCTCCCTTCTTCCCTCCCTCCCTCCTTCCTTCCTCCCTCCCTCTCTCCTCCCTCCCTCCCTTTTTCCTGCCCTCCCTTCTTCCCTCCCTCTCTTCCCTCCCTCCCTCCCTTCCTTCCTCCTTCCCTCTCTCCTCCCTCCCTCTCTTTTTCCTGCCCTCCCTCTCTTCCCTCCCTCCTCCCTTCTTTCCCTCCCTCCCTCTTTCTTCCCTCCCTCCCTCCCCCTTCTCTCTCCCTCACTTCCTCCCAGCTTCCCTTCTTCCCTCCCTCCCTCCCTCTCTCCTCTCTCCCTCCCTTTTTCCTGCCCTCCCTTCTTCCCTCCCTCTCTTCCCTCCCTCCTCCCTTCTTTCCCTCCCTCTCTCTTTCTTCCCTCCCTCCCTCCCTCCCTCCCTCCCTCCCTCCCCTCCCTTCCTCTCTCCCTCACTTCCTCCCAGCCTCCCTTCTTCCCTCCCTTCCTCCTTCCTTCCTCCCTCCCTTTCTCCTCCCTCCCTCTCTTTTTCCTGACCTCCCTTCTTCCTGCCCTCCCTCCCTTCCTCCCTCCCTCTCTCTTGCCCTTCCTCCTCCTTCTCTCTGTCCCTTCCATTTTCTCTCTCTCCCTTCCTCCCTCCAGCCCTCTCTCCCTCCTCTCCCATCCTTCCTTCTTTCCATATTTTCTCCCTCCATCTCTAACCAACATCCCTATCATTCCTTCTTCCCTCTCTCCCTCTCTCCTTCTTAAGCTTTCCTTCCTTCTTTGCTTCCTTATGTCCTGCCTTCCTCCTTTTACTCTTTCCTTCCAACCTACTTACCCTTCCGTGATTAAATGAGCTGACTGTGTTATTATTCAGAAAACACATAAACATAGTTTTGGGAGCTTGGGCCACACCCAAAGGTGCTCAAGGAAATTCCTGGCTCTGTGATCAAGGATCACTCATGGTGGTGCTTGAGAAACCATATGTGGTGCCAGAGATCAAATCTGGGTCAGCGAAGTGCAAGGCAAGCACCTTAGGAAAGTGGCCTGCACGTTCTCACTGGCCCTAGAAGGTATGTCCTGAGGAGAAAGGTTGTCTGTAACCTCCTTCCCTGCACGCTTCCCCATGCTTCCTGCTGTTCTGAATGAAGTCAGGATCTCACTGTTTTTTTAGGTCATTGAAAGAATTTGAGATTTTTTAGGTCATTGAAAGCATCTGTAAAACTACAACCACTTTTACTGGTTGATTATTATTTCTTCCATGGATGCACTTGAGGTACTTTTTATGAAGTTCAAGTTGAGCATAGGGAAGGCTTGAAATGGCATGCCTGACAAACGGTCACCACATCTCTCGCTGTAATTAAGAAAACAGTCACCTGGAACAGCTACACACTGGCCTTCGTGGGGGATGTTTTAAAGGGAAGGAGGGGTTTCTTCTCAGTGCACAGGGAGGGGAGAGTTGTGAGGAGCTCGCTGTGGGGCAGGACAGGCCACATTCTCCTGCAGGGCCTTTGGGGCAGCAGACTAGGCGGGGCAAGGCCCACAGCAAGAAGGAGGGGCAGGTGAGTGAACTGAGAGGTGCTGGGACAGGCTGGAGGACAGTGTGCGTTGGGCCACGTCATGCCACACAGCTGCGCAAGTCCTGCAAGCACAGGCCAGGCAGAGAACTCCCATGGGGGACCAGAGCAATAGCATAGCAGGTAGGCGCTTGCCTTGCCACACGGCCGACCCATGCTTGGTCCCCAGTATCTCATATGGGCCCCTATGCACCGCCAGGAGTGATTCCTAAGTGCAGAGCCAGGAGTAAACCCTGAGCATCACCAGGTGTGGCCCATAAATAAATAAATAAATAAATAAATAAATAAAAAGTATAAAAGAAAATCAGCTGAGTATGCACACAGGGAGTTGAGGAAGTCCTTGTGGAGGAGGCCTGGGGCGCCTTTGCCCAGGATGCCCCCAACTATGGATAGAGGAACAGCCCCTCCTGGTCGCCCCGTCCGTCCATCCGCAGTGTCGCTGTCTTGCTCTGGGGTTGCACTCAGTCCTTTGTAAATTGATTCCCGATTCCCTGAACCAATAGCTGAGCTCCATCCACTACCTGCAGCTGGTTCCCAAGCCTGTGTGTCTGAGGGGAGAGTCTGAGGGGCTTTGGGGCAGCCCCACCCCAGTTCCCTCTGTCTGGAAGCTGCACTGACCAAGGGCAATGCTGGGAGGTGCTGGGTGCTGGTCTGTGCCCGGGTGGGGCTGGGCGTTGGGCACTTGGTTGGTGGGCCTTGCACTGGCTTCTTTCCTGGCAGGCATTTCACTAACAGAGAGACCTCCTGGGCGCTGGGAGTGGGTTACCCCAGGAAGGTAGCCCCGGGCCCCAGAGAGTTAAAAAGCAGCAAAATGAAGTCGGGGCTTGTGCCCTGCCTCGTGGGGTCTCCCCACTATCCTGTCTCCACATCTCACTTCCCCCCCTCAGCCACGGGGCCGCTCCTGCATCCTGCAGGGCTCAGAGCAGGCCAGGACCCTTCAGGTTTGCTGGTACTTGCCTCAAGCCTGGAGCATCGGCCCCTGGGGCTCCCCCATCCCAGGCCACACTCAGACTCCTGCGATTCAGATTCCAGGGCTGGTGCAAGGAGAAGATGCTGCCCCTCATGCGGCTCCCTGGGCACCACAGACGGGCCCAAGCAGGCACATGTGGCCCAGGCAACAAATAAATAAGCACCAAATCGCCAAAGGGCCCAGCCAGCCCTCCCCCAGCAGGAAAGGCTGGTGTCAGCGAGGCCCGCCCCTCAGGGCTCTGGGCAGGGTCCTGTCCTGCCCTCCCATCTGTGTGTCTGTCTGCTATCCTTTTGCAAACAGCACAGGGTGTGTGGAGGACACAGCCCACCTCAGTGTCCCACACTTGCGACCCCCGGCCACCATCTGTGTTGGCCCCTCGCCCCACCCGGCTCTAGTGACTCGTCTACAGAGATCCAGGCACATCTGCCCTAGAAAGCGTCCTGGGTGCCGGCCCCAGCTGGACGCCCCTACCCTAGCTCTGCACGTGGGGGGCCTGTGTGTCTGTGTGAAAACTGAAGCCCCTCCCCCCTCTGTCCCTCTCCCCAGCTGCTGCCCTGCAGGTAGACATGCTCGTGGCCAACACCACGGTGCCGGAGCATGCGGAGTTCCAGCTTGACTGCCACGTCATGTCGCGCTCAGGCCAGGACTCCCGCTTTTCCGTGGCCTGGTACTCCCTGCGGACAAAAGCCGGAGGCAAGAGGGGCGGCCAGGGCCTGGAGGAGGCAAGCGAGGAAGAGGAGGAGGAGGAGAAGGACAAGGAGGAGGAGGAGGACCCCACCGAGCGCACAGCCCTGCTGAGTGTGGGCCCAGACTCTGTCTTCGGGCCCGAGGGCGGCCCCTGGGAGGGGCGGCTGCGACTCCAGAGGCTCTCTCCGCTGCTCTTCCGCCTCACCGTGCTGCACGCCAGCCCCCGGGACACAGGAAACTACTCCTGCAGGGTGGGCGAGTGGCTGCCCAGCCCCCAGAAGGACTGGTACCAGCTGACCCAGGAGGAGTCGGCCCCCGTGAGCATCCGCGTGCTGGACACAAGTGAGTCTGACCACATGGACGAAGGAAGGGGTGGCAGCTGTTGCTGGCTGTGTGCATGCAAGACCCTTCCGGGCTGGGTTGGGAGTTAATGAGCAGCATCCTCCCTTGTTCAGACGTTTAGCAGTTGACACACCAGCTCGTGTAATTGGCTCTTGATTGCCCATGCAAACAAAACAGTGGTAGGAGTTCTGTGTGAATGCGCCAGACCTTTTTCCTGATTAGCCTGAGGTCCCACCAGACTCCGTGGCAGTCCAGCTGGGGTTTCCTTTGCTCCCTGGGACTGTGGACTCTCGACCTGGACTGCCCGCAGTCAGCAGGTGCCCAGGTGGATGCCTGAGCGTCCTCACGTCACTGTGCCCTTCCAACTTCCCAGATCATTCTCCTTTGGAAGGGTGACATGGGGGCACCTCGGAGGATTTAGGAAAGTTAAGAGGGCTGACTAAGAAAGTCAACGAACAGCATCTGGGCATCAACCCTGTTTGCCATTCGTGTTATACCAGAATGTTTCAGAATTCTGACTTTTTTTATGAGGGACTCTTGGAACAGAGACCAGAAGAACTAGTTGGTGCTCTGAATTTTTGGTTCTAACCAGAGACTCCTGTGGTTCCTTCTGTGAAAAAGTGAACTGCAGGGGCCAGAGTGATAGTACAGTAGGGTAGGGGAGGGCATTTGCTTTGCATGCCACCAACCCAGGTTCAATCCCCAGCACTCCATATGGTCCCCCAAGCACCACCTGAGTGCAGAGCCAGGAGTAACACCTGAGCATCACTAGGTGTGACCCAAAAAGCCGAAAAAAAAAAAAGTGAACTGCAATAAATGATAAAGTTTGTCTTTGGTGGCAGAAGCAGCCCACACTGCAGAATGGAACCTTTGCTAGATGTTCCTTTTACTTTTCCATCAAAGCATTTCCCCTGATCACTTTGACTTGAGTTTTGAATATCATGTGTGTTTTTTCTTTTCATGAACCATCCCCTATTTTTACATGAAATTGAATCATACAAAATTTAGGTTGCATGGGTCAAAAGTGACAAGTTCTCCACAAGTTCACACTCTCTAGAAATCTCCAAAATCTAAGTGTCCTGAGCACAGCCATGAGGGAGAGAGGAAGCACCAGCCTCACTGTGTGCAGCCCTCCAGTGACAGCGAAGACTGTGCCGGCCGAAGTGCATCGAGTTTAAGCGTGTGTGCCAAGCCCAGGCCAGAGGGCCTGTTGCCAGCACAGAGCCATCGCATGTAGCCTTACTCTGCCCGCAGATGCAGGTTTCAGAGGTCAGGGTCCTGCTGAGCTCTCGTAGGTGAAAGGTCCACCCTCAGCCCTGTCTGGCCTGCTGGTCTGGGTTCCCTCCTCCCCCCACGTATAGTACTGACTCCTGCTCCCAGCATGCACTGCAGAGTCACAAGGACATCTGCACACTGCCCCAACCATGTTCTAATTGATCCTATTTAGCGGGCATCATTTCAGGCCCAAGAACACTCAGAGGCTGTCAGGGAGAGAATGTGTTCTACTCCCAAAGAAGGACTTTGGGTGTGGAACTAAGAGCAGAAGGGACCTGTAAAATAGAAACTTACAGAGCAATAGAGCTTTTGCCTTGCACGCGGCCGACCTGGATTCAATCCCCTGGCATCCCATCTGGTTCCCTAAGCACTACCAGAAGTAATTTCTGAGTGCAGAGCCAGGAGTAACATCTGAGCATTGCTTGGTGTGACCCTCAAACAAAACCAAAACCAAAACCAACACAATATGTCTCTTACCAGGCAGTATGGATAGCCTGAATTGGAGTGAGCTAGTACCGCCTGGGCTCCAGGGGAACTCTTTCTCCAAAAGGGCACTTCACACACACACACATACACGCATGCACACACGTACACACACAAACACACACACACACACGGACATGCACACAGACTCATAGATTCACAAGCCCTGCGAGTGAGGCATTAGTGTTGGTTATTCATGCGGCATTGCTCAAGGTCTTGGGGAAGGGGCTGGAGCACAGCGGGTAGAGCATTTGCCTTGCACGTGGCCGACCCAGGTTCGATTCCCAGCATCCCATATGGTCCCCTGAGCACTGCCAAGGGTAATTCCTGAGTGCAGAACCAGGATCAACCCCTGTGCATCTCTGGGTGCGACCCAAAAAGCAAAAAAAAAAAAGTCTTGGGGAAGACACCCCTAGCCGTGTCCCCGCCCTCACTCTTCATGTACTCTGTCCCCTGCAGGTTCCAGCCTTCAGTCTGTGATCTGCTCCAATGACGCCCTCTTCTACTTTGTCTTCTTCTACCCCTTCCCCATCTTCGGCATCCTCATCATCACCATCCTGCTGGTACGCTTCAAAAGCCGCAGCTCCAGCAAGAATTCAGAAGGGAAGAACGGGGTGCCCCTACTGTGGATCAAAGAGCCACATCTCAACTACTCTCCCACCTGCCTGGAGCCCCCCGTGCTCAGCATCCACCCAGGAGCCATCGACTAGGGGCCCAGGGTATCTCCACTGAGAAGCTGAGGCTCTCCCTTGCCTGTTCGGTGTGGGGTGGGCACGCACAGGACCCCCACACTTGCGTGCCCCCACAGAGAACCCTCAGACTGGACAGGACAGTTCCGAGACAGACTGCCATGGGGCAGGCTTGGGAGTCTGGAGCCGTCTACTGTGGGGCTGGGTCTCAGGGTGGGGTTGAGGCTCAGTTCCCTTTCGGATATCGTCGTGAGTCCTTCCCATGCCACAACTGTCACTGGGTTCTGTAGCATTGTCTGATAGATGTCACAGGGCTTCCGAGTCTTTGTCATGGACTCTTTTAAGATCTTTTTTGCTTTGCCCTTTTTGGATTCCCTGAACTTTTCGTGGACCAATTTCCATACCACCGATGACAAAAAAAAAGGGGGGGGGGGGAGGGGGGAATGAGGAACCTTCTTATAACCTTATTCCACCAAGGAATCTTTTGCAAGACATTTGGTCCTGCACACTTGAAAATGCTGTCTGTGGAGCAAAATATAGCCAAGGATTTTTTTTATTTTGTTTGTTTTTTTTAACTTTCTTATGGAGACTTGAAAATGATGTGACATGTGGGCCCAATTTGTATCTTATCTTTCCTCTTAGCTGAAGTTGCTGGAACCACTTTGGCTTTGAGATGCGAGTTTTGCATTGTGCTTCAAAGAGCAGCATATGCTCCAGAGATCTCGACCCCCAGTGGGAGGAGGTTGTGCCTGGCCAGCCTGTTAAGGAGACAAAGTTAAGACTTCGTCCCAACCTTGCCCAAGACAAGGAGACTCACCTGGAAAAAAATAAAAAATTTCACAGGGTTCAGTCAGGGGGGTGCCCCACTGGGTGAACGTGGGCTTAGCCACTCTCAGCCTTGCGGGATTTCCAGACTGATCAAAGGCAGAGATCAGTGTTGGGGGTGCAGGTGTGGCGGGAGGGAGGCTTGCTCTGGGCTTGGGTCCTGTAGGACAGAGCTGTGAGCAGTGGGTTTCTATTTCAAGGTGCTTTTCCAAACTCTTAAGAGAAAATGGCCAAGAGCATGGCCCAGTGGCAGCCCTGAGTCAGCACGGCCCTGCACTGATATGGGGCAGGGTCCCCCAAAGAGGGTTGAATACAGGCTGGAACCAGCAGGCTGGGAGGAGGCTTCAAGCCTGACTCAGGGCGCCCAGGGCCGTTACCTCGCTGGCAGGTTCTCTTCCTCCTGTGTAGATTCTCCTCCCGGACATCTGCACCGTGCGTTCCTGGCCACGCTCACCCCCCGGACCCTCCAGCCCCAGCCCCAGTCTCACTCCTTTGTCCTTGTTTTTTTGTTGGTTTCCCAGCCTTCTCTTTCCTTTGTGGGCTCAGGTGATTGGGTGACTTTTCACTGTAAGGCCTCGTTTTAGCAGACAGGGCACCATTTGCCATGCCCTGGGACTCTTGGGTCTAAGGGAGTTCCCAGTTTGGAAAAAAGATGACAACAACAACCACAAACCGCTGGGGCTTCTGGAGCTGAGTCCCCCAGAGAGATTGACCTGGAGCTTTGTTCTGAGATGCAGCAGCCTCGGCCTGCAGAGGGATATGGAGCCCCCAGCCGTTTGCACGCTGATGCAGTTCCAGGGTGGAGGCAGCCCTGCCGTCTTGTTCTCCTGGAGGCACCCCACCTCGGCCCACTGCCCCCGCGACTCCTTCCCCTTTATTACACTGCATCTATGCTTTGGAAGTTCAGACTTGGTTCTGGGGCATGGAAGGCCAGTGTTTTGCCTGTGTCTTCGTGTCAGGGTGAAAGGGGTGCTAACACCTGCCTTCCAGACCAAGCCCATGAGGAAAGAAGAGAGGACTGTGGTGCCTGTCTGGGCAGGACAAAGCCTGAGAGCTGCCCTGGCTGGGACCTGCACCTCTGAGTCAAGTCTGGAGTGACTCACCATGATGGAGAAGTGAATTGAAGCAGTGACTGGAAGGAGAGAAAGAAACCGGAGCCAGTATTTTAGCAAACGCTTTTGTTTATCCAGTGTGTTTTCTAGTGGGCGGGCGAGAGCAGCCGAGGGGGAAGCATTTCCAGCTTTCTATGAAAATCCTGACTTTTGTTCTTGGGCCGTTTCTATGGAAACGTGGTGTCAGGCGGGAGGTAAGGGTACCCTCTAGAGGCCACCAGGCCTCACTGCACCTCGCCTGCCGTGCTTTCCTCCGGAGCCGGAGGGACTCGCTGCTTCAGACTAAACTATCTGAGATGCAGCATTTGTGAAAAGTGCACCGGGGCCACTCCAGAACGGTGGCTGTGTCCACCCTCGCCAGGCTGCCTCTCTCGCGAGTTTTCAGCTTCTTTTTAAAGCAATGGTTTCTCTGCGGGGAAGGTTGGCGAAGGTAAAGTAAGGTGGGGGGACGGAAATGACCCCATGCATGCCGTAGAGAGCTGTTGATTCAGTTGGTTTTGTTTGCTTTTATTTTTTAAGGAAAACTATTTGTAAGATGTTGCACTAAAATGTTTTCTATACATCAGAGACCTGTAGTAAATGATGTTGAAAATACGGCTGTATGAGTTCCTGGGCCACTGGCCTCACCTGTCCTCTGAGAAGCCCAGCCCCCGCCCGCATTGGGGCACCTTGAACACAGGACCCAAGTTCCTTCTCCAAGACGTTTGGCTGCCCTGTGCAGAACATGTGGGAACAAATGCACAGTCGGTCCTGTCTGCCAGTGCCGGGCTGCTCCAGGGACCCACTGTTGTGCCGGGGTTCTCTTAATTGAGCACAGAGACCCTCCATGGTGGGAGAACCTGGAGGTCCTTATTACACTGGCCGGCCAGGCCCAGGGTCTAGGATAGACAGGCACTTGAGACCTTCAACCAAGCTCAGGGGTCTGAGAGCCTACTTTTATACGTAAGACTGCAAACTTACCATTACTTTGCTTCCTACTCAAGTAACGAAGGGGGTGCACACACGATGATATCTTATCAGTACAGTTATGGGGAGTTTCCGAAAAATCAGCATTTTCTTAGCTTGGAACAAGGAAGTTCATCCCAAGTGCAGTCAGGGTGGGCACCTTTTTAAGACTTTACACCCACAAGCAAAATCCTCTCTATAAAGTACATTCTACAAATCAATTATAAAACCAAAGATACATATAATAAATGTCCATCATAATATCACCACAGTACACAGGCCCAATAGATCAGAGCTTAGCGAATAACCTCTTCAGTTTGATTTTGCTGGGGGTCTGGCGGGGCTGGAGAGAGGGTGTCAAGGGTAGACGCTTGCATTGACCCCCCCCCCAAGCCCTGCTTCCAATCTTCGGCTATATACGGCCCCCCGAGTATCTTCAAGGTCACACTGGAGCTAAGAGCCAGGAGCACTGCTGAGCACTGTCAGGTGTGGCCCCAGTCCCCCCAAATCACAGAGGATGGAAAGACTTTCTACTCCAGCAGCAGGGCCTTCAGCACCTTCTTTACCAGACTAGTTGCTGTTGCCCCAGCTGTGAAACCCATGGCATTCCCAGGATGCAGAAAAGTGCAGGAACTGCATGGAAGCCTGTGGGAACCCTGTCTCTGGCCCCTGAGCACCCCCAGAGTTGGGACTTGCAGGAGTTTGCCACATGCTTTGAGGAGGATGGGGGGATTAAAGCTATCACAGAACCCCCCTTGACTCTTTAAAATTAACAGAAGACTCTCCAAAAGGAAGTGGAGGGGAAGTCAGAAGCCAGGGGAGGTGCTGCTTTTCTTTTAAAACTTTCCATGAAACAAATGTGTTTCAAGCCTTTCCATGGAACAGATGAGCCGCTCAGTCGCTCCCAGCCCCCGGCCGCTCCTTATCAGCTCCATGCAGCTGCCCACTTGGCCAGGAGCTGCAGTGGACCGTGACTGCCTAGGGATCTCCAGTGGTTCTCTGAGAGTTTCACAGGTTTGATTTCTCACTTGCTATACCGTCTCCCCAAATAATCTTTCTCCCAGGAAACATTTCTACAGCAGGAAAGTAGGTTCTTGTGGAGTGAGGTCACCTCATGACCCAGCGCACAGGCCTGCTCTGTTTCCACTGGGAGGAGCACTGACTTCTCCGGGAAGGTGGGGACAGGCTTTCCTCAAGGGGCCCTGAGTGTCCAGGGGTGGTTCTGAGCATCTGGTGGGAACCAGAGGCTTGGAGGGAGGCAGGGAGCGCTGCTGGGTGAGCTCCAGTTCCCTTCTAACCATCGTCATTGCCCAGGACAGCTCTCTCTGGGTCTCTCAACACAGCACAGGAGAATGTACCTCAGATCTTCCTTTGGTCAGGAGGCTATGGACGGAGCCTCAACTACCTGCCCACGCCTGGTAGGGCCAACACTGCTGCTCCACGCTGACTCATTAGGTGGGCCAGACCCAGATTCGGGCATTTCTGCTGCCTGGGAGCTTTCTCCCTGCAGCGCAGCAAACACCGTGGGAGGGTCAGGCGCATCAGCCAAGGAAGACCTAAGGTTCACTCCTTGCCCAGTGTTCCCAGCCTTGTTGGGGAGGCAACTTTTAGAAGGGGCTGACAGCTCCCACTGGTCCAGAAGCCACACCCTGCTCTGGATGGGAGATGAGCGCATTACTTTGGCCTCCACCTTGATGAGGACTTCCAAGTGTACATCTCACTGAGTGTGGAACGCAGCTTGAGCTTTCTGAGTCTCAATTTCCTCACGTGAGTGGGGAAAGCACCACTGAGCCTCCATGCCCTGGTGGGCGTCTGTTCACAGCCCTGGTTAGCTTCAAACAGAAATGGAAGTACAACTGAGCATCAGGAAGCAGCAGGATGCTCACCCTGATGTTCAGGGGACTTGGGGGTGACCTGGTCTTTAATTCAGTATTTCCAGGCCAGCCATCATTTTCCTTGGCATATAATGAGCGATAAAAAAGAGGCTGCTGAAAGGCATAGCAGATAGAGCACTTGCCTTACACACAGCCCCCAGATTCGATCCCTGGCATATGGTCCCCAAAGCACCTCCAGAAGTAATTCTTGGGTGCAGAGCCAAGAGTAAGCTCTGAACATCACTGGGTGTGACCCCCCCCCAAAAAAAAGTTTAAAATAAAGAAGGTCCAAAGGTTTGGAGCGTGTGCTTCACACACTGGAAGTGGAGCGATCTCAATCCCAACACTGAATTGGTCCCCAC